TTTTTTATTTTTTATTAAAAATATAAATCCTAAACAAATTTAGTTTATGAGTTGGCATTGACACCTCATAAAAAAAATTCCAAATCAGCACTTTTTAATGTTGTTTTTGCCATGTCACCAAAAAAATATAAAAAATGTCATATGATGGAGTTAACGGTTTAAATTGACAGAATGACTAACCGCTGTCTCTTATACACATCTTAATTTTATTTATTTATTTTCTTATTATTATTTTTATAAAATTAATAATTTTAATAATAAAAAATAAAAAATATTTAGAAAAAAATCTATTTAATTGTTTTTAAGCATGTCCTTATTAATAATTTAATATTAAACAACAACTACTAACCAAACAGTTATTTATATCGAATCTACTATCTATTATTCGTCATCTACTTTCCGCTATCCACTATCCATTATTTACTAACCTCTAACCTCTAACCGCTACCACTATGCGTTATTTGCTATCTGTTGAATTTTAACTGCTATACCAAACAGACTTAAAAAATTATTTCCACCACGCGCTCAATTTTTTTTTTTTTAATTTTGAATTACAAAATATGAGGTAAACGTTTTCTATTTTTCAACTCATTCCACCCACATGCTATGCAATTTTAACTCAAAAACTTCTTATTTCCTCTAGAAAAAGATTAATTAGCATTGAATTGCTTAAATTATTAACAATGTTTGACTTATTCTATATATTTTATAAGGATGATTTATCGAAAGATTGTTATTATAAGTGTAGTTTAAAGTACTCGCTAAAGAACAGTTCAATTTTTGGTTATGAATGCTAGTTAAGCTAAAATTTTCCAAAAGCTTCATCTTTGGGTCTAAAACTAGTTCTAATAAGCCAGAACAATATATACTATCCTAAGCATAACATCCTAAACAAGGTACTAGCTAGTTCTTTTAATTTAACAAAAACTAGTAACTAATCATCAATAAAAAGTAATTAAACTAAAATAAGGTTTGATAGATAAGATTGTGTGGGGAAAACAACATGATTAAGACCAATCATCAAAATAAATTAGATAACAAAATAACCGTCAATAATATGATACATCAATTATGATTTCAAAATATACAATCATGACACGTATCAAGTTCTCTAATCAAGTTTTCACTTTCATTAGTACATATAGACCTTTTATGCATAAATTAGTGCAAGTGATGAATTCATTGGCAAATTTCAACATAAATTTTACCTTGAAGTGAAAATGGGTGAAATTTGACCCTTTATTGGAGGTAAAATTGTGTGTTAAAAATCAACAATTACCATCAACCTACCTCAAACAAAAATCATATTGAATTATTGATGTTTTATTTTCAAATTTTTACTTTGAAAACTTAAGGTTGTAGCGCATTCATTTATTATTTTATTTTACTACTAAGAGAATGATAATAATAAGTGTAAAATTAAAATAATTGTATTTAATGTCTCCTTAAAATGAAAGTGTGACCACTAATCAAGATCTCCTCAATTTAGTAAGGAAAAAATATTGTGATGTGAAGTATATCAGATTACACCAACTTAAATTATTAAATAAAAGTCTCATTGAATTGTATAACTTAAATCATTAAATAAAGATTCCTTAATTTTAGAGACTATCTCTCCATCTCATAATTAATGTTTTATAAACTTGGCATAATTGGACTAAATCAAAAAATCCGACCCAATTCATCCGTTATGGGTTGAGTTATGGGTTTTATGTATTAATCCGAAATTTAAAATGACCAAAAATGAAATTATTCAAACCCAAATAGATTGGATCGATCACGGGTGGATCAAGTCACCCAAAATGACCTGAATTTTTTTATTCATCTTTCATTTGATTACTTAAAAATTAATTTTTAATTTTTAATTTCCCAATTCTAAAAATAAAAATAAATAAAATACACAAATCCTAACCTCCCATCAGTTTGACTTTCTCTCAACTTTTCCTCTTCTCCACTCTCGCTCTCCCTTCTTCATCTCAAGCTCTCTAATCCTTCTCTCTGGTAGCACTCATATAAAAAATCAAATTAAGTGGCACATAGTCAACTGTATCATATGATATCGTCAAAAAGATTTTTTTTTTTTTTAAATAGAAAGTAAGAATACTTGCTAAAAATCAAAACTCAGTGGTTGAGATACCTTTATCACCATTACAAGCACAAAGACAAGAACATCAAGAACATTAAGATTTGTTCTTAGTTGCTAATTTGTTCTTAATTGTTAATTTATTCTTAGTTGTTAATTTGTTCTTAGTTGTTAATTTATTCTTAGTTAATAATTTGTTCCTAGTTAATAAAAATCAATCTCGATCCAATTTCTTCTTGTATTTGTTCAAATATATTTTGGATTTGCCTTTTGAATTTTAATATTGAATAAGGCTATATTTTTTGTATAATGGATTTCTAAATATTGACTAAAACTGTATTTTTTGTATAATACCCTTACAAATATTGAATAGACACTAGATATGAATATATATATTGGATTTGTCTTTTAAATTCTAATCCTTCATGTCTCTTCTTTTAATAAAGGTTAATGCCTTTATTAAATTATGAACTCTAAATATATATAGACATATATTTTAGTTCCACCTATATAATTAGTAATCTT